GCTCTTGCTGGAGGAGCCCTTGGCCCCGAAGAGGCCGCTGGGCTGGTTCACGATCCGGGACAGCGTCTCCAGGGGCTTCAGCGCCGCGTTCACCGTGTTCGCCATGTTGGGGCTGGGGAGGGGGCACGGGCTGGGACCCCGGCCCAGGGGTGACCCCCCGGCCCCCAGAGACCACCACGGCTCCCCCAAAACCCAGAGAGCACCACAGCTCCCTGGACACCCCTGAGGCTCCCCAAAATCTACCGCAGATCCCAAAAACCCAAACAGCTGCCCAAGATTCCCCACAGACCCTCAAGAGCCACCATGACCCCCAAAACCCCTTTAAGACCCACCAAACCCCCTTTAAGGTGCCCTAAAAACCCCTCAAGACCCACCATGATCTCTCAAGACCTTCCCCAAGACACCCTGGTAGCCCTCAAGACCCCCCAAAAGCCCTTCAAGACCCCCCAAGACCCCGTTGAAGCCCCCCCAGAGTGCCGGGGGTCCCACCTGGACAGGTCGAGGCTGTGGGGCACCCGGGCCAGGTCGTTGACCAGCCCCTTCTTGAGGAAGAGCCGGATGATGTTGTTCATGCCGTTGTGGGGCGGCTTGGCCGCGCTGCTGTAGAAGCTCGAGGTGGACGGGCACGACTCCATGATGGTGCTGATGATGCACATGACGGCCTGGAGCCTGGGGGGACACGGGGACAGGGGTCACGTGATGGGAGGGACACGGGGTCACACCATGGGGACGTGGGGTCACATCATGGGGTCATGGGGTCACGTGATGGGAGGGACACGGGGTCACACCATGGGGACGTGGGGTCACACCATGGGGACATGGGGTCACACCATGGGGTCATGGGGTCACACCATGAGGACATGGGGTCACATCACAAGGACACGGGGTCACACCATGGGGACATGGGGTCACACCACGAGGACATGAGGTCACATCACAAGGACACAGGGTCACACCACGGGGACATGGGGGTCACATTGTGGGGGGGTCTTCAAAGGCGCCCCTGTCTCCATGGTGTCCCTGAGGTGTCCCCATATTGTGCCCACAATGTCCCTGTGTTGTCCCCACGTGTCCCTTTGTCCTCAAATTGTCCCCTTGCTGTCCCCACACTGTCCCCATGGGGCCTCTGGGG